CACAATTTATTAATATACATAGAGTAATCACTAGGGTTGGGTATCGAGAATCGAGTATCGATTGGAACCGAGACTAACTTTTCGTTTTTCCCGGAATCGTTCAAAAGTTAAAATTTCGATTCCTAGTTTCGATATTCACAGTCCGCCGAGCGGAAGAAGAAACCGCTGAACAACACCAACGAAGAAGCGTCTACCGGAAGTGTTGGCATAACCACGCGAGTCGAACATGAGTACCTTACGTCGGCGATCCAAAGTGTGGCTTCACTTTCTAAAAATAACAAAATCTCGGCAAAATGCTAAATTTGTGACAAAAGGAGTATTTTTACAGGAGTATTTCCTTCAGAAAGGCCATTGGTTAGCAAGGTTAGCTATACTTTTTTCTTAAAAGAATCGGAATCGAGAATCGTTAGGAACCGGAATCGAAAAAAGGAATCGCAATCGGAATCAGAATTGTTCAAATTCAAACGATACCCAACCCTAGTAATCACAAAGAAGAAGCATGAATTCGTGCAAGAAGTGGAAAGCAACTTCTTTGAAAGACGCTAACAGCAAAACACTTTTTTGTTTTTACAAGCTTTGTACGCTTTAATCACTAACAACACTTTTGGGCAGTTTGAGATGAGAAATCAACTGTGTAGAATTTGAATTTTGGCAGTTTGTACGTAAATTGGGGGCAAATTGAAAATGTTTTCGGGGGTTGTGAAGCTCCACAAGCACCGGCCAGGTTAGCGGTGCCAGTCACACTCTCAGACATTTTCTATGTTTATGGTCTCATTTATAATATTCACTGCACTGGGATTGTAGGTGGTGGTCCACGGGGGTTTGGGCGGAAGTGATGGTGGTCTATTTATTTGCTACACCTGTTCACCTGGGGCCGGTTGCACCAACTGTACGTAAGTTACAACTTAGCCTAGTTTTGACGTAACTGGGCACTAAGTTTACGCACAACTCTACGTAACTCTACGTTCCAACTAAATATTTACTTCAGCCCCGATCAGGAGTAGCGGTTGGAATAAAATATCAGATAGATGAACTGCATCAATATAAGCTCTTCTTTTACCTGACAGACTTCAATTCTTTACACATATATGACAATGCTGACATTTATACTCGCTTACATTTTAAGAGAGAGAACATTATGTGAAAATATTACTTTGTTAGCAGCTCTTTAACACGAACCCGTCCTAAACAGCGCCACTGTGGGCATCGGTACATGTTGTGCATGTCAAATATCCGTCATAATCAATAAACATAATTTCTTGTTTTTTGTATCAATATTTATTCATTGATTCTTATTAATTTCATTTCAAATACAGTTTCTGAATGTTATTCATATATAAAAACACTTATGTTATTCATGATCAAGTATCGTATTAAATGGAAACTTATTTTTACCGTTAGTAACGTGAGGCAACAGAAGTTAGAGTGAAGGATAAACTGAAATTCACAGCTTCTGCTCACGCATTTGAAGGCTGCTATTGGTTCATCGAGGCTAAACGTCATATTATGCGACTACGCATTACTTTATGGAGACTTTGCGATTTACTAGCTACGTTCTACCTTACGAACAAATGGTGCAACGGAATAAAGTAAAGAGTTAGTTACAAACTAGCTAGTAGTTACTTAGCCTCTAGTGTGGACTTTACGTTACAATTTGTAAGAACTACAACGACTCCCTACCCATTCTTTTAACTAAATGAGAAGGGATAAATGATAACCCCTTGTCTAACAAGCTAATCTGTGCCGGTGTGAGTGAAAAACACTGAGACAAGTTAATGACCGAACTTTTGCTTGTATTTGCATTATTTTGCTCAATGTGGTTAACTCCCCCCCCCCCCCCACCCCCACCCCACACCCTTACCGGGGCCATGGTGGAAGGCGCCCCTTATTCGTTTAAATGGCGGAGCCAGTGGCGCAACATAGCAGAGGCCGTTTCCGAGGACCACTGAATTTTGCCAGGCCCGGCCGAAAATTCTCCTTCGGGCAGCAAGGGGATGCTGTACTCCGACCTAAAGATAACCTCATTCAGCATCCCCAGATTCTTAACCTGGTCCTTCGGCAGGGTCCTGTCGAAGTTTATCAGAGGAATATGGATCACCGCCTCGGGAAAAGTCCCGTTGGCGGCCTCCAGTAACGCCCTGATGTTCCCCTCTGCCACTCCCCTGTCTGACCCCTGTCCCCTGTCTAAATCGTACTGGCGACTCATGTGTGTGTACATTTTTATGAACTAACCAATCATGGTTCACATGTTTGCTATACAATGTTTTCATTGGCCTATTAATGAACTGACTCTGATCATCACATTATCACATTAGGCTATTCCGTCTTTACGAAATAACTTTTGTCGACATGGAGCCCACTCAATATATTCAGATACTTTCATTTTCAAATGACAAAATGACCTGCCTGGCCCTATGGAAAGTCGGGGTCCTGTTCTTTATGATGTAGACTCCATGCACCATGTTGGCCCCCGGGTAGCTATGTACCTTCAACTCCCCCTGTCTGACCCTGGAAAATCTTGCCAAATTTGAGGACCCGATGATTAGAATCTTCCTCCTTGGGTCCAGCCGCCAAGCCTCAAACTTGTCCCGTGTCTAATGTGGAGACTCCAGACAGGCGGCGGGACCTTGGGGGCTGCTGGGGTCACTGGAGCTACGGGTTCTCCCTGGCTCTCTTCCTCCTCCAGGATACCAATCCATGTTATTCTCAGACCCAGCCTCTCTCTCTGTTGGGACTGGCGCCTGAGCTGGTGTCGGACCCGTCATTGGCATAGTCGTTACTGCCCTTCTGCTTGGGCCAATCCCCTTCCTGGCTGTTGCCCTCTTTGGGGGTACTGCCCTGTTACCCGCCTGCTCCAACTGATCAATCTCATCCAGGCAGTACTCCGGGCTCGATCCCAGATCACCACCTTCTCCCTGGACCGCCTCCCTTCTAGGTGTAGAACCCCTAGTAGGCATCTTACGGCGCCCCGGCTCCTCCTGGCTACCTTGAGCCCTTTCTGGTGACTCCTCTTCTTCACCATCCTCTGCTGCCTCTTCCTCCAGGACCCTCACCTTCCTCCCAGCCTGGGAAGAGGATTGGGCCCTCTCCTTTTCCTGGTCAATGTGAATCACCACTGCCCTTCGGGGTCTATCCCCCACCACCTCCTCTGGCTGGGGATCTTCCTGAGCCATCATACGGGCCACCATCTCCCCTGCCCGCTGAATGGTTTCTTCCCTGATGCTTCTAATAGCACGGCTTGTCCACTTGATTGCGATTTCCCATGCCTCTCTCCATCGCACCCTGGAAGCATGGGCAACCCCTCGGCTGGCCTCTCGGAGGGCCTCATCGTAATGGCTGACCAGGATGTCAATCCCGTTATCCAGCCACTGCTTTGCATTCCTGAACAACAAGTATTTCGTCTTGATGTTCGGGAATGCTGGTTGAATGCCCGACGACATCTGATGGGCCATTCCTTCCAGTCTCGCAGCAGGAGACCCCGCTGTCCTGTCCGCCTCCAGTTCCGCCACATGATGGAAGGCCTTGAGGAATCTGTGGAGCGCCTTGATTAAGGCTCTGAATTCTCGGTCCGCCACATCATCCCTTCCACCCCTCCTTGTAAAACATGTTATTTATTGAGCTGCGTACTGAAACTCGGGAAATGCGACACCGAGGGAATCATTGTTACCTTGTTCGCCGTGTCTGTGGCAGGTGAACGTTCGGGTACGTCAAATGTTTTGAGTGAATTTCCCAGGAATGAGCGTGAATATCCACACTGTATCAATGCTTTAAAAAGAGTGAAAGAAAAATTTCGTACTGTGCCAATGCGTTTTAACCTGATTAATTATGACCCTAAAAGTGTGTTTAGGGTGGAAACTGTGTTCATTTATGAGCGTATGAGTCTGTCTCTTTAAAGTGAACTCTAAAATCCAGGTTTCCTGAAGAGAGGATTTGGGGATCCTTATAGGACACAACATCCAGGAAATGTCCCTCCAATTCATGAACTGCGTATTTGATCTTTATTCAGGCTTGGTTTGCATTCACATGTTCTGTAAAGGCGATGTACAGTCTTCCACTGAGTGTGTCCAGACACCCCAAATATCATCCAGAAATCTATTTTATTTTTCTCTGCTAAAGGTAAGGCAGACTCTTCCCAGTCTGCCATAAATATGTTAGCATATGAGGGGTGAATTTTCTACCCATAGCTGTTCCTTTTATTTGTAAATAGAATTTAGAATCAAATTCATCATATCGCTCTTCATTGGTTTATGATTAGTTCATATCAACACTAATCATGAGTAACTATTAATTCAGGTATTATAACAGGATTGGTCATGCACTGTTACTGTAAAGTGTGACCTATGTATGTACTGTATATATTTATGTTCCTCTACGGTGGCTATACCTCTAGAGTTGCAGTGTTTCTAATAAACTGGTTATTGCATTTAGAAACTGAAACAATTGAATATTTTTACCAATTAAAGAAACATTAATCATTAATTTATTACTCTTCATGATCTGCTATTCCATACAGGGCTATTATGAGGAGTAAATTTGTTTGTGAATCAATTTCCAGTAAATGAGAAGCTGTTTGTGAATCTGAGTTTTCACAAACCAGATTGCATTACCATATTGTAGAATTAATTATTTTAACCATTTTAAATTATGTTTTAAACCCACTTTCGGTGTAACTCTTTTCAGTCATGGCCAGTTTAATAAAATACACTTTAACAAAACAAAGCTGAAATTTAACAAGTTAAATAGTAAATCCCTGTGCAGCCACAAACTTAATTTAACATCAAATTCTTAACGAATTTTAAAAAGTTGTTTTCAATCATTTGCAATATGAATATCACAAATGCTCAGTAGTTTGTATTACAATTGCAATCACTTACATTTAGAAAAAAATCTAAGTGGTATTGAAAGTGTTATAGGAATCTGTGATTTATATGTTGAATCAATCCTTTATCTTAAATTTAGTATGTTTTCCCTCTATGTGAATTTCTACTTTTTGAACAGGACTTTTATTTTGTGTGGCGATGTGATGTCATAAGTCTGCGCCGATCGTGCATCAGTGGATATGCTGAAGAAAGGTTTGTGGCTGTAATCATTAAAGTGTTATATATTTTACATTATAATGTATCTAATAACAGTAGGCTAATGGACATAGTTGTTGTCAGTAAAGCGCATCCACACGCGAGTAACAGAAAAGCTGCGTCTCATTTCGCTCCCTATATTGTGAATCAGTTCATCATAAACACGCTGTTTGCATATGGCAAGCAATGAAAGAGAAACGGAGCTTTTCGAAACCGGTTCAGATTTAATTGAATCAAATGATTCAGAGTTTGTAAGCGCTCGAATCACTGAATCAAGCTGACGACTCCTGCAGTTCACCAGTGTAAATGCAGCAACAACAACACACACATATGATAACGTCTACAAATCAACTGACAATGTTTCATCACATTGTAAATAATGAATGCTTAAATAGGAATTGTCTGTGTAATCCAGTGCTCGAATTGAGTCAAGTCTTATGGGGGGGTCCTTATGGGGTATGCATAATATGCATAAATATATATTATTTATTAAAACCGCTTGATAAAGAATTATATAGGCTATATAATTATTCTTTTAAATTACTTACTAAAGTAATACTGGATTTAGAGGGCAGCAGAAATTTCACACATTTTCAGCATCATTACTCCAGACTTCAGTGTCACATGATTCGTCACAAATCATTCTAATAGTAATATGATGATCTGATTATCAACAAACATTTATGTAATAAACATTTATTCTATTTTTCAGGATTTTTTATCAATAGAAAGTTCAAAAGAACAGTTTCTATTTGAAATAGAATCTTTTGTTACATTATAAATTTCTTTACTGTCACTTTTGATCAATTTAATGCGACCATACTGAATAAAAGTATTAATTTATTTCCCAACATTTTTTAAAAATACATTCTTACTGACCGCAAGCTTTTAATGTATAATGCTACAAAGCACACAACGATCGCTCCCTTTCCGTCGAGATAGCACTCCCGTAGAACCAGGGCTATTAATAATGGGGGGAAAAGTAACTTAAGCCTAAATGTTTCGAATTTACGCAAGGAGTACAGAAGCCCCGATGGTGTGGGTAGATATAAAGTAGAAAGATATAAATATATAAAGAGAGACAATTACCCCTCAAAAAAGTCGGTAAGAAGCTTTCTCTTCCCGACCTCGAGTCGAGGTTTATCTTTCTCCATTTTTTAAAAGTTAAAATTAGCTTCAACGGAGCGGCGCCAATCAAACAGTCCTGTCAGTCAACGATGTCATGCGCACAGCACTCTTTAGATGTGGGGCGGACGTTTACATTTTAAAGCGACATGGCAACTAGCCAACTTAAAAAAATATATATTGTAAATAATCAATTCACGAAATTTACCGTATCCATTGCATGCATTTAATCAGATTTGTTATTATTATTTTTTACTAAAATAAAAATATCTGAGGGACCCCCCTAATTCTATTTTTTACTTTTTATGGGGCGTCCCTAATACCTTATGGGGGGTCCCGGATCCCCCCAACCCCCCCTCAATTCGAGCACTGGCTGTAATCTGTGCTCTTTTATTAATTTGTAGTGCTAATTTTGAGTCTTTTTAGTCTAATCAGATCATTTAAGTCCAATAACTCTCTCTCTCTGACTTGACTCTCTTACTAGTGAACTGAACTACTGAACTAGATCTGATTGAGACGCTCTCAGAGATTTAGTTTAGAGTGTTTTTAGTCTAATCAGATCATTTAAGTCCATTAACTCTCTCTTTCTGACTGACTCTCTTACTAGTGAACTGTACTACTGAACTAGATCTGATTGAGACGCTCTCAGAGATTTAGTTTAGAGTGTTTTTATTTATTAATTATTCTCCTCTTAAACAGGACAGTGTCCAGAAAAACTCCTGATGAAGTGACTGAGATCAACGTGACACACTATTATAAAGATGTCGTTTATTAAAGAGGAGAGTGAAGACGTGAAGATTGAAGAAACATTCAGTGTCAAACATGAAGATAATGAGGAACAAACAGGTCAGTTTCATTCTCAAATGTGAAGCTTTACAGAAATGAATGATATTTTTGAAGAGTGTCCTAATTAAAGTGGTTTTATTTGATATGGTGTGGGTCGTCTCATGTTGAGATCACATGACCAGACAAATACTAACACTGCCTTCAACCTGAGAAGATCTGAGTAATGACATGAGTAAAACTAATACAGATGTAGCCTAAGCCCCGAACTTTTTGAAAGCATGGCACCCCTTTGTAGTGTTTTTTTTTTCCACGGCACCCCAACCCATTAAACTACTATTTCCAAACCAGTAATCAGATTAAAGTTACCTATCCAAGATACTGTGTTATACATGCGTTTTATATTTGAGGGAAAACCACATCCGACACACAAAAAAAAAATCTTTCACTTTTAGGTGGAAAAAGTACAAAAAGTAATACTACCCACAGGAAAGAAGGGTTGGCTCTCCACAGAACATTAAATATTAATTTTGTCTTATTTTTCGTGTACGCATAAAAACAATGTTACGTGACAGTTCCCCGTTACGGACGCAAGCGCTCTGAAAACGCACTGAAAGACTTCTCTTTCTCTGTGGCGCGGCGGAGCCTACTGAAGTGATCGTGAGTCAGGTCAAGAAAGACTGTCTTTTGTTTTTATTTAGAAAAACAAGTATTCATGTTAAGTGAATTAAACAAAGACTGTCATTATTTTTTATTTTTATAAAAACCCGTTTTTTTCAGGAATTAATTTTAATTTAAATTTATTTAAGTTAACTTGATGTCAGGAGATACATTGTTGACATTACAGTTAAAAAGGGGTGTTTTCGGCAGCTGCTGAATTAAGGTACTTTTTCAAAGTAACTGTTGCAATACTGACACAATTATATCCAGATGAGCAAACTACAAATGAATCATAAACAGCAGCATGAATTTATTATGAATGCATCACAACAGACATAATATGAGGAGAAACAACCCCTTCAGATGAATCATCTGTCCATTTATAACTGGACGCACATCAACAGACTTATTTTAACCAATTAGGCTGTATGTGAGAATCATTGGAACAAAACAGATTTAAAGATACTTAACTCTTTAAAAAATAATAAAAAATAATAAACAACTCCAAATATGATTTCTTTAGACCCTTGTTTGCTTTGTTCAAACCCGACCTTATAACTTTTAACTTAGAAAATAAAATATATTTGCATGGAACTGTCATGGGCATTTTAATGCGCCTGCTTTTGCGAACACAGCCTCTTGATACGGGGGTTGATTGAGGATAGTGCAACTGGTAGATCGTGCTCCACTGACAGGCGCTGCCTCTTTTTGTTTTTCACATATGCCAGGGATGAGAACGCTAGCTCGCACAAGTCATTGCGCCGTGCATTCTGAGATCGAAGGCTATTCGTGTCCCACATGCAGCCAAAATTCATCTGAAGACATTTCTCCAAATTTTAATTTCTGCGAAATCCATCGGATGTGACGTGCATGCGCGCTCCCGAGCCTCTCTATCCTTATTACAGTCTGTCATGCGGCCAACGGCACTTCAGCTAACGACATGAAGTCTGATAACACCCCAAAACGTCCTGCCTCCAGCACAACACACACTCCAACACAAACTCAAAAAAAAGTTTTATCTGCTGAAGCTCGTCAGGCAAAACGTGACTCTGATCGATTACATGAAACTACATGAAACATGACATGAATACAAAAGAATGTTCCAGGATAACAAAAAGTCAGTGCTTTAGGATGCAACGTATTAGATCTACTAACTAACGTCACTCATCCACTACTATCATATTGTTTATACATATTTCCAGACACGTTCAGTACAGTAATGTCACTTCCTACGATCTTACTGATACACTGAAACTGTTCAGTTTAGTTCACTAACCGTTTTCGTTAACATAATATACATTCACCTGTGTTGACATTGCTGATTGTGAAAGATACATCAATATAGTTAGTGAAATGGCTTATGCTATATAACATCACATGTCGGCTAAATGCAGTTTATTGTAACATTATCATGGTACGAGCACAGAGCATTAGTTCAACGTCAAGCTGATAAAAGTAGGCTATTATTGTACCTGCACTGGGAGTCTACATTAGTTTCCAGCATGTTGAGTGATGCTTTCGCCGGTGCATTGAAAGTCTCCGTGTGGCCAGTAGTGAATGCTCGCTCTTGAGATCGAGCACGAGCACGAGCACTCTTGTTGCATTCTGAAACATCACCGCTAGAGGCCGCTAGAAAATGCATAGATCACCTTAAAGGGATGTGACTTCATCCATGTTGACATTCTGAAATCAATAACCATATCCTTGGTCTTCAGTACATTTGAATTAAGGTGAGACTCTTCACACCACTCAACAAAGTCATTAATAATAGGTCCAGTAGCAGACTGACAATCACAGTGTCGTCTGCATACTTCAAAACAACTTGATTTTCCAGATGACTTTGGCACATATTTGTGTACAGTATAAACAGTAGTGGAGAAAGTACACATCCTTGTAGTGAACCAGTGGAGGAACGTAGAGATTGTGTTATTTATTTTCACTCTTTGTGTTCTCTCAGTTAAAAAATAAGTAGAAAAAAGAAAGTAGCTTCACCTTAACCCTCTGGGGTCTGAAGGGGGTCGCACACCAGCAATATTGTTATGTGAAAGGACATTATGAAGTTAAGATAATGTGTGAAATATGTTATGATTGTGCTGCACAATTAATTACAATCATTGCAGAGTCTGCAGTCTGAACACTTTACTTCAGGGCGTCCGTTAACTGAATTAATAAAGAATCTTTCCTGAAAGTCCAATAAAATCCCAAATTTCATGCAAACAAATGTAAAACTAAATGTATCTTGCAGCACAGGGTGATGTCAGTGTGTACATTAATTATGATTTCAGACAAATATAATGTAATTTGAAAACAAAATGATGTAAATGGCGCTCTGTAGTGCAGCAGGATTTTGAGCAAGGTCGAAAGGTAGCTGGGTGCCGTGTAGTGTTGCACGATGCACCGATATTTCAAAAGTATTGCGATACTCAGAAATTAAAAACCTCACGATACCTAAATTTATTAGTATCGATACTTTTATGAATGACCGCGTTTCAGATTTGTAAGAGACGTATTTTCATGTTGGTTTGTGCAACGCAGGCTTCCAGTCCCTCCCTGTGGACGTCTGTGTTTCTCCTCACGCACGCAGCAAAGAAGCGGCAGCTGTCATGAGACAAACACTACAGCGAGACGGCTGCTTGCGCGAGCACACGTGATACTGTGATACGGTCAGTAGCGGAGTGGCAATCTGGAGATTCAGGACTTTTCCCAGTGGGCCGGTTGTGTTTTGAGGCCGCGAGAACCGGTCTGATAGTTATACTTTGCAAGTTCCTAGCAACACCATCCGGTGGCCTGTACACAATAGTCTCTGCAACGGTGATAGAATGAAGCGCGCGTCCGAATAAAGACGGTGCGCGAGCCGCAAATAACCATGCAACTGAGAGCAGCGGAAAAAAGCGCTCCGCTTGATTTAAAAAACAGATTTTAGCGCTAGATCTCTTATTTAATACCGAAATAAATTCATTATCTGCTATTTAACTGGAGATGTTTTATTTATTTTTGTATTAGTTGTACAACTTTTACCCCAACTTTCATAGATAGGATAAATAATTTGCAAGCTGCTAAAATAAAGCATGCAAAAAATGAGCTAAAATGATCTAGTCTATATGATTATAATCAGAGCATGTGCATGCTTGTCATTGATTTATTTATATTAGGTTATTACAGCATTTAAAAAGCACAGACATGTACATGTGAAACGCCCTGTAAGAAATACTTTCCTTTTCAGGAAAAGTATCGAAATCGCGATTCTTGACTTGGTATCTGTTTCGAAACAATAATTTTGGCATCGTGACAACACTAGTGCCGTGGACAGATGCAGAATGGTGCCGCCGGTTTGTGTACACTCGCAGAAAATAATAGGATTGTTCTACTACTGTCCGACTTGATACTGCGCCGACGGCACGTGACTGAAATCAAAGTCCCGCGAGAGCGATTCGAGAGTAGCCGGAGAACTCAGCCAGCGCAGCTTCTCAAGAGCGGCTCACAAGCTCTGATGATGACACAGCTGTTCCACGATTGGTCGGGTTCACAAGCTCTGATGACGACACAGCTGTTCCACGATTGGCCAGGATCACAAGATCACGTGATTCTGCCCAGTCAGAGCCTGTTCACGTCACGTTTGCCCATGTCACTTCCTCTGAGCCAGTGTTTACAGACAAGATGGCAGAGTCAGAGACTGTTCACGTTACTTCTGCCGGTCCAGAGACTGTTCACGTCACTTCTGCCGAGCAAGTGTCTACGGACAAGATGGCCGATCTAGTGTCTGTGTCTGTTCACGTCACTTCCTCCAAGCCAGTGTCTACAGACAAGATGGCCAAGCCAGAGACTGTTCACGTCACTTCTGGCTGTCCAGAGTATTCACGTTTCTTCTGCCGGTCCAGAGGCACTTCATGTCACTTCTAAAGAGTCAGTGTCTACGGACAAGATGGCCGATCCAGAGACTGTTCACGTTACTTCTGCCGATCCAGAGACTGCTCATGTTACGTCTGCCAGTCCAGAGACTGTTTACTTCCCGTCTGCCCAGTCAGAGACTGATCACCACCTTTGCCGATCCAGAGACTGTTCACGTTACGTCTGCCCGTCCAGAGACTGTTTACGTCACGTCTGCCCAGTCAGAGACTGATCACCTCACCTCTGCCGATCCAGAGACTGATCACGTCACTTCTGCCGATCCAGAGACTGTTCACGTCACTTCCTCCGAGCCAGTGTCTATGGACAAGATGGCTGAGTCAGAGACTGTTCATGTTACTTCTGCCAGTCTAGAGTCTGTTCATGTCACTTCCTCCGAGCCAGTGTCTACGGACAAGGCCGATCTACAGTCTGTTCCTGCTCACCCGAGCCAGAGTCTGCTCCTGTTCCCGAGCCAGAGTGTGTGTTGTCTATTCCTGAGCCAGCGTCTGTTCCTGTGTTTGTGTCTGTCCTTGTGGCCGATACTGTTCTAGTATCTGCTGTTCCCGAGCCGTTGTCTGTTCCGCCCTGCGCATCCTTCTCCGCCCTGGCCCCTTGCGCATCCTTCTCCGCCCTGGTCGCCCACATTGCATGACCCAAGTCCACCTTTGCACTGGCATGGTCCTGTTCCCCTGCACAGACCTGGCCCTTCATCCTTCCCCCAAGACCGCCTCCGCTTCACCACCCTCCTGCACTTGTGTTTTTTTTTTTTTGATGGGAGTCGGGAGCCACCCATAGAGGGCTATGTCAGAGTTTGGGTTTTGTGTCTTGTTCCTTGTTTTTGTCTGTCATGTGATTCCCTGTTTGCCATGTGTCTTGTTAATTGATTATTGTCCCCAGGTGTTTATTAGCCATGCCCCCTTGATATCTTGTTTGCCTATGTAATTAAGCTTTGTTTCTAGTTCAGTCTTTGTCTTAGTAATTGAGCGGTGTAGACATGCTTCAGTGTCACTATAATTGCCATTTCAGTTATTGAGGCAGACTTTTAGGCAGACCTAGTGTCTGTGTCTGTTCACGTCACTTCCTCCGAACCAGTGTCTACAGACAAGATGGCCAAGCCAGAGACTGTTCACGTGACTTCTGCCGGTCCAGAGTCTGTTCACGTTTCTTCTGCCGAGCCAGAGACGCTTCATGTCACTTCTAAAGAGGTCTAATGCTCTCTCTCAACCCAGAGTCTGTTTCGCTTTTAAAGTTAGAGCCATTCATAAACTGCATGTCAGGTGGAGCCTCCAATCAAATTTCACACCTGAAATAAAAAAAAGTACACAGACATACAAGAATACAATATTACGTAGCGCAGTGTATGTAACACCTGCCAGACATACCGCTGGTCCAAACAGTTCCAGTTTGGTTTGGTCAGTCCATAGAAATGTCTCCCAAAACTCTGTTGTCTAATCCAAATTCCTCCTGGCATATTCAAGTTTTCTAGTTTTTCGACTTTTAATTATCCTTGTGGTCAAGAGTGGAGTGCGTCTAGGAGTTCGGCCACAAAGTCCTAGTTTATTCAGTGTATGTCTTATAGTTGCCCCTGAAGCACTTGTACCAGCCTTCATCAGGTCATCCTGTAGGTGTCTTGTAGTCACAGAGGGGCTTTTCTTAGGTTCAAAATATTGGGCTTTCTTCCATGGCCAGGTTTGCTGCTGTTCCACAAGTTTTGGTGTGATGAAATAATATCTTCTCTCAGCTTTTGTGGATTGCAACTCGCATTGAAAACTGAAGCAAATTAAGGATCCTTATAGAGTTACCTAAGGCTTAATAATGCAACATAAACTCCACTTTAGGTCAAACACTTTCAGAAAGCTTTAAAAACAATAATATTATGAAGGGAACTGAATAATTGTGACATGGCTATCTTATCCAAAATATCTTGTTACACAAATACTACATTATACATATATTTCTGTGTTGTTTTTATTTATCACTCAGTTCATCAAGAAGATCCAATGCAGAATCTTGCTCTTTAAAAAAAAGTTTATTGATAAATTCTTAAAATCTTTGGGGGGTTGAATATTTCTGATTGCAACTGAATATATGGGGGGAAAGAAGAGACAACTGCAAAATTTGCAGTGTCTTGAGTTAGGGTTAGGGTTAGGGGTTAGGGTTAAGGGTTAGAGTAAAATTATTCTTGAGTAAAATTTTTCTTGAGTAAAATTATATTTTTTATTATATGGTTTCCCATTGCAGGTTTGGTCGTAAATGTCATATAAGGTGATGTTAAAAAAGGTCTTAAAAAATCTGACATTTTATTTGTTTATATCTGTAGACACCTGTAGACACCAAGTACATTGGTTATATTAATGATAATGATATATTAGATAGGATGACTAGTAATTAAGTAAAGCATTGGATCTCAACAAGTCAAAGCAGTTTATACACTCATAATACTCAGTTTTACATACATGTAAAACTGAGTATTATTTTCATAACTGTGAATGTCCCTTAGGAGAAGCATAAACTATGAGAAAAGCAGAGGACTTAATACTGAGCCTTGGGGCACACCATACTTGTGTTTGATGAGACGTCTCTTAGTATACTAGTAAAAATCTGACAGATTTTTTTTTGATGTTCTAAAGAAAGTGAACAAGTTGGTGGTTTTTAGCTTGGTGCTTTATTGTGTTTTTGATTTCTGTTTCTTTGTGCCATTAAACTGGTTAAATTGTATGTTTTTTTATTTTTATTTTAGACCTGATTGTGCCGAAAGAGGAGAGTCAACAACTGAATGAAATTGAAGAGGAAAATGCATTTAAGAAACATAATGATTTAATGACTGGAGAGAAGCTTTTCACATGCCGTCAGTGCGGAAAGTGTTTCAGTCAAAAACATAACTTTGCAATCCACTTAAAAGTTCACACTGAGGAGAAGGCTTACGCATGCCAACAGTGTGGGAAGAGTTTCACCAGAGGAGGAAACCTTACAGCCCACTTGAAAGTTCATACTGGAGAGAAGCCTTATGTCTGCCAACAGTGTGGGAAGAGTTTCACTCAAAAAGCACACCTTAATAAACACATGAGAGTTCACACTGGGGAGAAGCCTCACACCTGCCAACAGTGTGGGAGGAGTTTCACCATAAAAGGAAACCTTACAGCCCACATGAAAATTCATACTGGAGAGAAGCCTTATATCTGCCAACAGTGTGGAAAGAGTTTCTCTGAAAAAGGATATCTTAAAGTCCACATGAGAGTTCACTCTGGGAAGAAGCCTTATGCATGCCAACAGTGTGGGAAGAGTTTCACTCAAAAAGCACACCTTAAAAAACACATGAGAGTTCACACTGGGGAGAAGCCGTTCACATGCCAGCAGTGTGGGAAGAGTTTCTCTCAAAAAGTACACCTTGAAAAACACACGAGAATTCACACTGGGGAGAAGCCTTACGCATGCCAACAGTGTGGGAAGAGCTTCACCATGAGAGGAAACCTTACAGTCCACATGAAAATTCACACTGGAGAGAAGCCTTACACCTGCCAACAGTGTGGGAAGAGTTTCTCTGAAAAAGGATATCTTCAAGTCCACATGAGAGTTCACACTGGGGAAAAGCCTTACGCGTGCCACCAGTGTGGGAAGAGTTTCACTCAAACAGGAAATCTTAAAACACACATGAGAATTCACACTGGAGAGAAGCCGTTCACATGAGATCAGTGTGTAAAGAGCTTCACAACAGAACTAAACCTTAGGTCTCACATGAAAATTCACACTGGAGAGAAACCGTTCACCTGTCATCAGTGAGGAAGGAGTTTCAGTCATATCAGTAGCCTCCGCGTTCACACTGGAGCAAAGCCTCACACCTGTAAACTGTGTGGGAAGAGCTTCACATAAAAAGCTAATCTTACAGCTGACATTAGAAGTCACACACACTATAAACCCGGATAAGTAGAATCTACATAAAAATGGGTTTAAGTAATGAAGCATTAGTTGAATAAGTGAAGTGGACTACGTTCAATGTACTTGCCCATAATGGAATGGAACAGAACATTTGATTCATTAGTACAAGTTGAATGTACTAATGGCTGAATTTCAGTAACTGAAGATACTTAGTTTAACCCCCAAGGTCTTTTTGGGGTCCTTGAGATGTTCTGCCATGCCCTGACATTTGTGCTTTTTTCAGTTGCTTATAAACATATTAATGGCACAGGTGAAATTACACTATATTTAGCACAAACAGGGCTACCATAATATGTGAGCAACATGTATGTACATGTTTGTATTTTTGAGAGAATATTATGTGTGGTTATTGGTTATATACTTCCAAGATGATTCCCACTAAAGATGCAGTGTGGTGAAGGGACTGCGTGTGTGGAGTGATGTTTTCCTGTTCATGGCAGAGGGTCCCCACTGGCACATCATTGTACGAACCTTCCTCATCATCAATGTCCCGAAAAAAGGAACAGGGAATGATCACATCAACATGACATTATTGTGCTACAAACACCCTCTATGGGTACACAGCCCACAATTTTGGAGTATGCCTCCTCCAGAAAAGTTTATTTTTTTATTAATTTTTTTCAAAAAAAGAAAGAAAGAAACTATTAACACATGCACACCTTAAATCCCCGAACGCCGTTCATACAGTTCAGAAGTTCGTTGAACTTCATACAGTTCAGATCACTCAGACTTATCGAGACTATTTATTAAGATGGCTCCTGTCTGTATATGTGAAGTGAACTGACTTTATAAAGTATCTTCTTATTAAACAGTCTGTACACTTACAAAGTTCTCAATGCTTCGTTTTGCATGTATGGAGCCTCATTATGTTATTGTGTTAGTGTGGGGCTATTTTGAGCCTTGTTAGTGGTATAAACTAGCGATTTCTTTTTACTTAGTCAATGCCTCCATTACTAGCATTATACGCTAAACAGTTTTTAGAGATAAAACTCTTTACATTCGATTATCATGAAAACAAATCTCAGAGAACGATTGACTAGGTACCGATGTTTTATTAGACCAATTGTTCGCCGGAGTTCTCCTTTAAGATCCACATAAGGGTTCACACTGGAGAGAAGCCGTACAAGTGTCTTCAGTGCGAGAAGAGTTTCACATATCACACAGACTTGAAACGCCATTTGCAAACTCATTCTGGAAAGAAACTGCCCTTTTCCTCAGTGTGACCTATCACGACCCTATGGTTTGTGTTTTGTTATATGTCTGTTGTTTTGTATGTCTTACTATGAATGTCATTTGATTGTTTCCTTTAGGCTGATAGATAGATGCCATTTCCTGATTGGTGCACAGAACTTTAAAAAGCACTTCATCACTTCCACTACAGAGAAATCTTGTGTTTTGAGCAGAGAGAGTTTTTGATTGAATAGTGCAGAATTTTTGTGTCTTAGGAGAGTTTGAATGTTTTAAGAGTATCCGAGACTGTTAGTATTGCTTGCTTGTTTGAGTTCAATATTGAATATCTGAGGTATATTTGACCCGTTTGCCTGTTATCTGAGGCTGATTTTGGATTGTCCTTTCAATTTTTTTGCCTTATAAATACTGAGAATTTGGGAAAGTAAAGAATCGGATGCCACTTTTGTTTATTGTAAAGAGGTTTAAAAAAATGTTTTTGTTGTTTTTTTTTTTTGTGGCTCAGTCAGCTCCTAAATCAAAAGTCTTTATTGCAATGAATTTGTGGGGTGTTTTGAATGTGGTGTAAAATGAAAACATTTCTGAGAACAGCTCCAGTCGCGGAATAAACACCAAAAACTGGGACTGTCCACAGAAAATGTTCATATTAAAGTTACTGCATGATTTTAAGTTTTTAAGATGATTTGAGGACTTCAGGACATCGAAGAGTGACATGATCATGGTTTCTTCTGCCTTTACATTTATGTCGACGAACTCATTGATCTGCTGTCTTATGCACCAAGTCAGTGCCACTGCTGAAGTAGAATTCTTCTCTCATGGACGAGTAATTTACACACATACAGTGTGAGAGGATTTCTCTCGACAGAGCAGATGGCAGACAGCGTGTAATATACCCTACCGTATAAGATGACGTACTGCTTGTAAACAGAACGTTTTGCGCCTCCGGCTATATCAGTACGTCATCTTATACGGTAGGGGGCGGTAAAACTCCTAAGCGGTGAGCGCGCGGTAACAAAAAGTAGTCGAAGAAGAACGGTCTCGTCTCAGTTCTCGCGCATGCGCCCATAAGGAAGTAATGGAAAGTCGAATAAAGTCGTTATTTACGTTTTTTTTTTCGCATAAAAAGTAGTCTCGTCGCTTGATAAAGTTATAGTTGAGCCACTGTATGCACATGGAATATTTAAACCTTTTCTTTTAATGACTTTCTGGGCCGTCAAGAGGCAGTCCTTCAGGCTGTCGATGGAAGAGTTATCCAGCCCTCAGATTCAATCAAAAAGATCTTTATTTGTGTTCCGAAGATGAACGAAGGTCTTACGGGGTTGGTACAGCATGGGGGTGAGTAATTAATTACTTAATTTTCATTTTTGGGTGAACTAACCCTTTAATTGTGCTGAATATCAAGCCTGGTGCTTCACATCATTCAGATCATTGTTCTTTAATGTTTGTGTAGATTATGTATTAGTGTGTTAATGTAATGTATATGAGAGTAGAGATTTGTTTTCACTGAAAATAAAGTATACTGGTTTGTGTAAGAATTTGCAAAGGTATAATAGATTCATGGATATTTTTATTGAGCTTGTTTTTTTTTGGTTTTTTTTTTTTTGCATACATATCATCAAGAAAAAAACAAACATTTTAAACTGCTGTTAATTTCAGAAGCACATATGAGAGAATTAATTTTGTAGGTTAATAAGTGCCCCAAGTGCAATAACAATCAACTTTGCAAAGCCATCCTCTAGTATTAATTGTAATAAACATAATAAACAAGAATGTTTTACTGACTACAATCTGTGCAACAATAATCCCAGTTGCCTTTATTATCCGTGTAGCACCACAGGTATTGTTTACCATGTTTGCCACAGGGGTGATCAGACCTGCAGGTTTGGCCGTTCTCAGCAGAGAAGCAGTCGTCAAAAGTACAGCACTTGTCATAACTGCCTTGGTCATCCGTGTAGCACCACGGCTTTTCTGAACCATATTTGGCACAGGCATGGTTGCTGATGCAGGGCTTCCCGTTTATAGCTTTACTTCTCCAGAGCGGAGGACTGCAGTAATCCCAGCTGCCAGAGACGGTGTTACACCAGTAGTAGGCTTCACCATATGTGGCGCAGGGGTGATCATCCCTGCACCTCTTTCCATAAGCAGTGACGAGTGAGTACCGCGGTGAGCACTCTATCAGCGTTTGGCCTGAGTTGCACTTGTAGCCCTTGAGTTTGTTCTGGTAGAGGCAGGGAGAGGAGCAGCAGGGCTTGGTTTTATCTGCTAGGTTGCACACACAGCCGTCACTAGACTCTGAGACGCTCAAGCACTGCGATCCATCAGCTGCAGTCTTCTGCTTCTCTGGGACCAACAGGCATTCAACCGCATCTGACCCTTCCGATACCTCCCTTTTCCTGAGCTCACCACGTTTACTCAGTGGTTTGGGGTTAGTTATAAGACAAGCACTTCCATCTAGACTCTTCATTTCCTCTGCCATAGTTGAATAAGTGTTTATGCTGTCAAAGACTAATTCTCCTTCCACCTTCTTCACCTTAAGATTGCTTGTAGAGGATAGGCGGTCACTGCCGATGGTCCTTTTCAGCGTAGTAAGTGTGTTCAGCGCATCTGAAGTTACTTCGACTCCTTTATTCCTTGGTAGATCAGTTAATTTCTTAAACGCCGTCTGAACCTTGTTTAATTTATTATTGTCTTCAAAACAATCATCCAAAAAAATCTTAACTGACTGAGGAGTTTTAAAGAGCTCACTGTAGAGTTCACTGAGCCGATCGTTCAGGTTTGAGACGGACATGATGCTTATGTCAGGCTCTGCTGGCCGGTTTTCCCCCATAAAGCTGAAGGAGAAAGACTTTCCGTCTTCACTGTGTTTATAACAGACAGCCGTCCAGATGTGAGAGGGCACCGTCACCCTTTGCTCCTTTTGTGGTATCCGTTGATTCTCAGCAGGTACCGTACCTGTAACAATGTAGATTGTTGTGTCTGTAGACTCTTGATCATCATGATCACTTTCAAACTGTTGTTTCAAAAACTTTCTCAAATTCATTTCCCAGTTCTTCCAGTGGATTTGGTTGAAACACGCGTCCATAGGTACTGCATTGGTCAGTGTATACGTTGCCGTACGGCCTTCATAGCAATTGAAGCTGTTGGGGTTCAGGTGTCCACGATCATATCCAGTGTCACTGTAGTCGCTGCTCATGGCTTGATTTTTTTTAATAACGTCTTCCTTAAGACGATAGTCGCTCAAGTCTTTCTCAAGGACCATATGTTTAATTTTGGATTGAGGATCGGAAATCTACAAAAGAAATATTATGTTAGATGGTTTGATGTTATACTGCTTATAAAAGTGGTTTTATGTATCAAATTTATCACATTTGTGGCGGGTGAGTCGAGAGCAGTAAGGGGATTGACTAAGAATTATAATAACTTAGTTAGATGTACTATGCATACTCCGACTACGGCACTCTGGGAATTTCACCCAAAGAATTAAAACACTATCCCATACAGAAGGCATACACTGGTCCGTATCACTGATATGAGTCAGAGACATTGTCATTGTACAAAAATATACTTTATTGACATTGACACATATTCATAAGTCACTTTGCATAAAATTGTCTGCTAAATGAATAAATGTAAATGTACATTTCATTTGCATTGACAAAATAGGATGGAGACCCATAAGTACATTAACTGAACAGCTTCTTGCGGAATGCAGAGCGTAAGCTGCTAATAACAGTCTTGTGTAAGACAGTGAAGCACATAGTTACCTGTGGCTCAACATGCCAGTTGTTTGACCTTTCACTGCTGAAGCATTTAGGGTCAAACGTGTAGGCGCTGTAGAGAGGAATCCTGTGAGGAACTGAGTAGTACAGCGTAGCGTAATAAGAGCCTCCTTCTTCATACTTCTGACAGATTTTCCTGGCATTCTGACTCATTCCTCCTGGTTCTGTATCTTTGTAGAAAAACTCTTTACACTTTTTAAAGCTATCGACCACTTCTGCCTGAGCACTGAATGCTCTCAGGGCAATACAGGTGAGCAGACCCAGAACAAACATGGTGTGATGCTGGTCTCGTGTTATAGAGTAGAGACAACTGAAGCACAGCTGTTTAAGTGCACACAGTCAGTGATGCTGTTGGGGTGTGACTGAAACTAACAAATGAGAAGAAATATGGGGCCTTCACTTCATCATGTGTATCGGACTAATGTTATAGAACTGTCACGTGTACAGAAACCTTGATTTAAAATAGAAAAATAGGGCATTTATTCTACTATTGCGCAGTGTAAGTGCAGCGTTTGCAATTTCCACTTCAGTTTTCTATTGAATGTTGTTTCACTTCTGCGTCTGGAGTGAGGAGCAGGTTTTTTGAAAGCCCATTTGTTTTTTCTTGCTCCATGATCGCTCAAGTGTGTTTCTCTCATTAGTGAGTGGGAAGCCCTGGACATTACATAAAAAATTAACACTTCATAATAATGTTCAGCTATAAGACATTGATAAGTTACTAGTTAATAACAAACTAATTATTTACTAAACATGACTATAGATTCATAAATGATAAGATTTTATCACATAACATTTAATGAACATTTTATGAATGTTATATTAATTTAGGTACAAGTAATTTATAAGTTACTAATGATTCATTAGAGGTATGCTAACGATTTACAAATGTGTTATATTAAGTTATCTTACAAATTGCAAGTCATTCATTAAGCAAACAGATCCTTTGTAGATGTTATTGGTTGATACATTATTAAAAAGATGATGCATAGATACATTTTTCATCTGACAAAACACTGGTTTATCATATTTTCCACAGCTCCCAGTTTTACTCAGTTTTACCCAGTTTGTGTGGTACTGTGTCTGTGGTGTTATTGCGGTGCCTAAGAAATCTTTTGGCCGTCTCAGGAGTAGCTCTAGGACTGAGTCACGGGGAAACCTTTTCTTCTAAGATAAATTGACTTACTTAGAAAACAATGATAACATATTCTGTTACATTTCTAAGAGAAAAAAATATGTTTCCTACTTTTCATTATTTAACTTAATTTGAACCAAATGAGAAACAAGAAGTTGCATATCGGACAACAGTGTCGATTTATATTGAGATCCTAGTACACCATACAAGTATCTACAAGTTTTTTTTTTTTTTTTACATAGTCAAGTACACAAAATTTAAATTTTAATTAAATTTATTTTCGTTTAGGTCAGTACAGTCAGTTAGTAAAATGGAGATTAAAAAAATAAATACATAGAATAAGAGCAGAGGAAACTGACTGTGTGCTTTCACTTCACTTTTCTTTGTTTTCCAGTAAATTAGCCCTCATCGGTGCACTCACACACATCTCCCAGATAATACTTGAGAGGAATATAAGTGCGGTTCTTAAAACTGAGTGCATAATATGATATATAATCTACAATTGTATCTGAATCCACTATCTCAGGGGCTTGAGCAAGGTTTGGGACGTCGATTTGATAAGAAGCAAACTCACGACTGAAACACACTGGATTATAAACCAAGCAATACAATGAAGAATTTGCAATGTAATAAGTCCTTTATGAGCCCAAATACGGGAAAATCTTCATTTACATTGATTAGAATCACTTGTGTACTTGGTGCCATTTAGCTCAAGCCATCTTCCAGTCAGTGTTAATTTTGGCTCCCATTTTTGATTTAGTTTTAGTCTTCATCTTCAGACGGTCTTATTTACATTTCAGTCATTTTGTGTTTCATAGTTTAAGTCTAGTTTTAGTTGACGAAAAGTCATTGCATTTTTGTCAACTTTTAGTCATACTGCAGTTACCATTTGAATATTTTAAACCAGATGGATATAAAAAGTCCAGTGCAAACGTCGTTACTCCCGCTCATCGTCGTCAGCTGTCAGTCACAGTTGCTAGGAGACAAGAACAACAATTCTTGTGCTCCAGGTGCGCACTTTGATATGGGACGCAGTTGTAGTTAGCAACAATTTGTTAATATTGTGATAATGGACCAACATTTTGTTACTTTAATTTTTAAAATAACCAGTGGGAGAATGTAAGGAACTTCATACTGCGTTAGTATTCATGTACAAATGTGAAGTAGCCTACTTTTTCCCTCACAGGACAGCAACATTTTACATTAAACTACACAAAAGTATAGTTTATATGTATCAACCTTGCAAACACTCAGAGACACTTACAAAAATAATGAAATATCCAGAGCCATGAATTCTCTTTTATGTAGGCTACACATTTAAAGTTGCATAAAATAATGAAATAATGAATAGGCCCAATAAAGAAATAATGTACAATGTAGGCTGTAATGTCGTTTTCGCGTTTCCACAAAACAAATGAAGCACGCAATGGTAAATGAGTTAAGATGAATAAGAAAAAATGAAATAAAAAAACGCACACAAAAAAAGGCCGCGAACTGCGAAGGATGCAGCCTTTTTTGTCCTTCGAAGGACGCACAATGTAGCCTTCGTGGGATTTGCCAATTGCGCAACCAGGTGTTCCCTATTACCGCCCCTGGCGCCAAGCAACAGTGCGAGAGTACAGCTACCACCCTGATCATTCATAAATAATAAAAATAATAATAAAACTGAGTAAACAGCTATGGAGACAGAATTGGCTATATTGTAATTTTTTTTCAAACTTAAGATTGAGCCACTGTAGTCACTTGGACTATTTTAACGATGTCTTTAATAATTTTTCGAGGCCAGCAAGTTTCTATCCCTCAAGAAGCCTATGGACTAGTATGCAAGAGTGATCCAGCTCTCTTCATTTAAATTACCGTACCACATCGCCATGTTAAAAGTTAAAATACTCTCTATAAGATTCTTATAAACTATTTCCATAATGTGCTTGCTCACTCTAAAGGAGTTGAGCTTGCGCAATAAGTGGAGATGTTGATTACAGGTTTTAAAAATATAATCTGTGTTTACACCAAAGTTTAGATTCGAATCAATATAAGTGCCGAGGTATTTGAACTTTTCTACTATCTCTACGATTTGGCCCCTAATTATAAGGGGCAGCACAGGTTCCTTATCATAAAAAACAAGTTCCTTTGTTCCTTTAATTTGGACTTCTCTGTGCATGCTTTTTGACGTGGACCCCCATACCTGCATTGACTGATAGACTGATAGACAACAATGGTTTGACCGAAAAATGTCAAAATTGAAACTACTGTGAAAACAAAGACTACATCTTATAATTAGACCAGTTCAGTAATTCCTACATATGTCTAGCTAGCTTTCGATTACCAGAGCTGTAAGCAGACTTCCTAACAAACAGTCGTTTCTCTTTTTTTTTTTTTTTTCGTTTTATTGCCTATCTTGCCACAAGAGCTAGTTTGCCAGTTGAACTCAGGTGTTGTGATGTGTATTTATCACTTAACGTTAGTCCCGTGTCTGGTTCGGATTTCTTATGGCGTGCGTACTGTGCTTATACAAACTTTAGCTGACTAACAGTGCACTTCCCTGACTAACAGTGCACTATCAGTGTGAAGCTGCTTTGATACAATCTGTATTGTGAAAAGCGCTATATAAATAAATGTGACTTGACTTGACTTCCCGACTGTAATTTTACTTCAAATTGTGTTGAATATGAATCAGTTAAATCTTGACGCTGCTGATGTTGATTCCTGCGATTATCATGAGGACATAGTCAATATCTCACATAATTATTAGGACATATATAAGCCTAGAGGTTGTAAATAGTGTAATAAATCACAATTTGCTAACTATTATGATAAACTGTAATAATCATGTCTAATGAAATCATAACCAGTGGCGTAACTTTGTTTTAAAAAGTGGGTGGGACATGTGTGTAAATGAATGAATCACGTGACACGTGAATAAAAACATAGATCCGACTTTACAACATGTCCAGTGGCAGTGGAAATAGCCTATACAGAAAGTCCTGTAAAATTAAACGAATAAATTGACCTAATAATATGAATAAAAATTACATAAACAAAAATATACATAAACGTTTTAAAAGTAAATTAACTATTAGGCCAGAATTTTGATAATGCGGAACGCGCACGATTAAAATTTAAATTGGCTTATAGCCTCTCCATTGTACACACAAACTGCTATACAATTAAAAACGAATAAATGGGCCTAATAATATAAATAAAGATAAAAAAAGTGTATAAACAAAAATGTAAAAAAAAAATAAAGGCCTACATAAACATTTTAAAAGTAAATTTAAAAAGTAAATTAACTATTAGGCCAACATTTTGATAACTAAACTTTTGCACAGCGCACACAAATAAAACAAAATTATGCTTATATCAATTGTAGCCTACAAAAAAAAATGCTGTAAAATTAAACTAATCGATGGGCCTACTTATATATAAATAAAAATATACAGGCTATAGGCCTGCTACATCAACGTTTTAAAAGTATATGAACTTTTGCGCAGAGTGCACATGGATTACAATTTAAATGGCTTATGTTGTCAAACCTTAAAAAAAAAAGAAAGAAAGAAAATGAATTGCTTTCCTTATACAGTTCTTTTGAGTTCACCTTCAAGAACACAAGTTTGGACAATGTCTGAGGAGGATTCGGACTCATGCGGTGCACGGTTGCGGAGAAAACCCTCTCTGCCAGACTCGAGGTGTGAGGTGAGCGGAGCGGGAAATAGGGCGACGGCGCTCCGTCCTTTTAAATATGCCCCTCTGCGCTCTGTCCAAGATCCGCCCGCCTGCTCCACTCCGCTCATATGCTCTGCACCGGAACGAACAAACAGTCTCCGAAACGGATTGAAGCGCGCATGTGAAGACTGTGCGTGAGCCACGAGATACACTGTAACCGCGCCACCGATCGCAGGCGGCAAGGAGCACTTTGATCACTTGATTTAAAAAAACAAGTATTTCAGGGCTAGATCGCTTCTTTTATTTTACAAACGAATGAAATGAATGGTCTCCCAGTTGGAGATGTTTTATTTATTTCTACTGTTAGCTATCAGTGCCGCGAGAGCTTTTAAAAAGTGGTGGGGACAAAATCGACCCTGGCAAAAAGTGGTGGGGACATGTCCCACCCGTCACACCCGCAAATTACGCCCCTGATCATAACGGCCAATGTTATGAAATAATGCAACGTACATTTAACTTTATTGATGTCATCTGACATTTTGTAATATTTACATTACAATTA